CGGCCGGGCGTTCGCACGGCGCCGCCGCGACCCGCGCGCTGATTGGCTGCAGCCACAGGAAGACCGCGGCGCACGGAGCCGCTGCTGGCAGAGCCGATTGGCCGCCGGCCGAGGAACGGAGTGACGTCGTCCCCCCCCCCACCGGCGACGAACCCCATTGGCTGGCGCCACGGTCCTTCACTGCCCTCCATAGGCCTGCGGGGAAGGCGCTGTTTGTGACGCAAGCAATGCCCTGGGTGCTGATTGGCTGCGACGCGCCACGGGCGCCCCCTGGGGCTGGCGCCCCTGGCACGTGGGGCGGCGCGCGGCGGTTGAGTAACGGCCCGCGCGGCTGACCGTTGAAACGGTTTTAACGGTTTTTCTTTTTCTTTTTTTTTTTTTTTAAACTTCATTAGAAGAACATCCTCATACAAAACATATTGACATATCTGTAACACAACGAAGTACCACAGGCAGCGATTCACTTCCACGCGACGCACAACCCAATGGACACGGGCGCTAAAGTGCAATCCCRCTGCGACAAGTGACGGCAGGCGGGCCCTGCCTCTTGCTCCTCCGTGACCTCCGTCCCACGAGCTCCAACGGGGAACTTGGCAGGTTCAGCCCTGGAGACATACACGGAGATGCTGGAAGAGCCAGGGGTGCCTTTTCTGTCAGTCGCTTTTCTAAGCAGAATCACAATTTAAGGCAACACATACGCTGAAAATTTACAGTTTTCCGATCTCTTGAGGGAATTTGAGAATGGAAGAGAAAATGTTTAGAGAAGGTGTGTGCATCTGTGTACGACAGGGCTGCTCTTCATGTCAGCACGTACAGGAAATGAAAGAGGCCTCTAGGTGACAGCGAGTYACCAGCTCTGGCCTGCTCCTGGATCAGTAGGAAGCCCATGGTGCCAAAGTTGGAGCACGTACTAGCACTCGCCAAACAACTAGAGTTCATGAGAGCCACTGGGCCAGCCTTGGAGATGCAGGAATGGAATGTAAAGTTTGTGGAGCGATGATGATCTGCACCAACTGAGGACATGGCATTTTTTTTCTTAACAGCACGTAAGAGCTGCAAAAGATCTTTTGGTAGCAGGAGCATCAGCAGCATGGTCTACTGTTCACAAAAAGGAGCAAGAACCCCCTTCTCATATCACTCACCGCCTCTGTTCCCCAGCCTCTCCAAACATGAAGCAGGAGACTTACATAAACTGAGGTTTCACAGAAACAGCCAAATTTGAAGAATCGTGAGCTTGAGGTACATCAAGGTAGAGCCCTAGCTCAGTCCAGGGTATAAGTAAGCACAAGTGCAAAGGGATATTCTCTTATGTACTAAGTGGTTGGAGCATGTGTGTGTGGAGGTAAGAGCCTGTTCTGTCTTGCCCCTTGTCTATTCCTAGAATCCACAGGGACATTGCAAGGTTGAGCTCTCAACTGCTCTTGATTTACAAGTGCAAGATCTTGGAAAGAACCACCAGGGAGCGACAGACCGGTATGTATGGCTGACAAAGAGGGAGCAATAAAGTGCAGACAAGCTACCAGTCAACGCTTGTTAACACCTCAAGGTGACTGGAGGGGAAATAAAGTAATAGAGTTTGAGATTTTCAACAACATCAAAACCCACCTCAAACTTTCTTGATGGGATGTAGTGCAAATAGGAGAAATACTGATCATGCTTTATAAAACACAGGGGCTAACACTTCAAGTTGTTTGGTGTGGGAGAATTGGGTGGACAGCAGGGCCAATTTCAGTGCGACTCTCAGTACGTCCTAGGCTTTCTAGGCAAGCTGCTCATCCACTGTGGAGGGAAAGGTACAGAAAAGAAACCACAGAATGGCTGGGGGACCTCTAGAGATCATCTAGTCTAACCCCCTGAAAGAGCGGTCTTAATACCTAGCAGTCCTCTCTGGGAAATGACAAATATCCCTGCTTACACTCTAACTAAAAAAATACCATCTCTCTCTACTCAAGCTGCACAACTGGCCACCATTCAAATGCYGGAGAAAAACAAAACAAAACAAAACAATCAAAAAACCCCACTTATCTGTGAGGTTTGCCTAGAGTGCCATTTCTGGATCCAGCATACGAGCAAATCTTCGAGGACGCGTGGCATACAACACCCCGTTGGCAGAGTCTGCACCAGCCTGCTGCAAAACACAAGCGTGTCGCCTCAGAAGAGGGATGTGACATTTTAAATTCTCTGGGCACTCTTGCACTCTCCTCTCGGGACACTGCTGCACGTATTGGTCTGTGAGATAAACACTGTCTTCAGGCAACTTTGAACTCTGCAAGTTCAAAGCAGAAACCTTAGCATCACTGGACTTGCTGGCTTAGCCTCCAGAACACATTGGTCCTCTTTGTAACAGCAAGATCTGAGCAGGTCTTTGGCAATTTGTGATCGGTGGGAGGGATGGGCATGAAAAAGGCATATGGAAAAGAGAAGAGTCCTGCTGTAGATCTCTGTTACAATATTGTCACAAGAGCACCTACGGATTTCAGTTGGAGTGAGAAGGTTAAAGTTCATCCTTGGCATTAACAAGATGCTGCAGTGGACGGACTGGCATTGCATGATCTGGTAGCAATTGGTCCTGTGACCCCTCACGGCTGCCAAGGAGTCTGTCACCTGCCAAGTGCGTAACAGTGTAGTTCTCCAGCAGGCCAGCTGCCACGGCATGGCCCCGGAGTCTCGYGGTGCCCACAAGCCCCTGCATTCTCACATATCCCTGCTGACAGGAGGGAGGCAGCTTCTGACGAGTGAAGGCAAACAGGAAACAGGATTCTGCAGGGAGAAGGACCAAAAAGCAGACTCAGCTGAGACACCCTATAGAGAGTAATTCATAGAATCATAGAATGCCGAAGGTTGGAAGGGACCTCAGAGGTCATCGAGTCCAACTGCCCTGCTCACGCAGGGTCACCTAGAGCACGTGGCACAGGGCTGCATCCAAGNAATCATAGAATCATAGAATGCCGAAGGTTGGAAGGGACCTCAGAGGTCATCGAGTCCAACCGCCCTGCTCACGCAGGGTCACCTAGAGCACGTGGCACAGGGCTGCATCCAAGCGGGTTTTAAAGATCTCCAAAGAAGGAGACTCATAATTCCTATGCTTGATAATCCTTCAGTGCTGGAAAGCTCATTCYGAACAAAAGGGAAATGGGATCAGGGACAGGAGTCAGAAGTCTCCCACCGGGCACCCCTGCCCTGGATGCCAGCAGAGTAACCAACTTAGTGCAGAGCTTGGGAGATGTAGGATGGCATCTCCAGGCTGCGCTTCGACAGGGGRAAAAAAAAAAGAAAAGAACTGAATTTGAGTTTCTATCCCTTTGTGGTCTTCCTACTAGGCCAGAATTGCTTGCCTCTGGGTGCCAAGTGGCTTTCCTGCATTAGGTTCCCAGAGCAGAGTTCTCTGGTGTAACATCCCAGCACTCCCTCTCAACAGTATGAAAACAATCCCATCAGCAATATGTGAAGAGAACTGGTACCCAACAACACAAAGGAACATTCAGGTATTGGAAAGGAGATAAAACTGCAGCTAGAAAAGGGACTGTGGACTGCAGGCAGACACTTTCTGGTGGAGCACAAGTTATTTGGGAACATACACACACACACACCAGCAGTTCTCACTGCCTGGGGAGCATATCAAAGAGGTGGGAAATCACTAGCTGATCACAGGGAGATCTTAGCTATTTACACAGAGATTGCTCCTGTTGTGCATCCCTCGCATCCCTTCTCTTCCTGCTGCCACTTCTACTCATTGCTATAATCACCTGCAAAGAAATTGCGCAGGTCGGTGCCTAGGCAGTTCTCCAGAAAGCGTCTCAGTGGCAGGACGTGAGCATTTGGGGCTGTCCAGTCTGTCAGAAAGTCCTCCACAATGTGATGGATGGCATCTGGGCGGGGGAGAGGCCAGTCGGGGGGGCGAAGTCTCATCTCCCGCTCTGCCAAGAGAACATTAAAAGAATCTCTAAGAATCAAAGTGCCATTAAAAGGGGCTTGGGGAGAGGAATGCAGTAACACCAGCTGTTCCAGCTCCTGCCTTGGCCTTCTAATCCTCACCATACTCTTATTTGCAATACCCTTTGCTAGTTCCATCCTGAACAACCCTGCCACTCTACAGTTAGCCCTGACTGTAGCGCTTCCTGTCATTTCAGTTCTGTTCCTTCAGCCCTCTTCCCTCTGGGTAGGGACTGCCAGTCAAGCTGAACTGTGCATAAGCTTTAATGCTGCTGCCCATCAGGCTGCTCTCTGAGCAAGTCAGGCCAGAGCCTGACCCTGTGTTTCTGAAGATGAAGTTTCAACACACTCATTTCCCCAGGAAGTTTGTTCTGAGCATGTTTGTTTGCTAGAGGTGACRCTCATCTTCCAGCTCTTGCCTTTGGCAGTCTCCAGCACTACATGACCCCTCYGACCTGGGCAGGCCACAGAGAGCAGCTTCCTTTTGGCAGTGACACTGAACCTTCCAGTCAGGACTGCCAGGACTCTGTAATGCACTTGCACTGCAGGGTGCCAGGCAAATGGCAGCTGTGTTCATGGTGGCCAATGACTCTGGAGTCTCTTGGGGAATGGGGAAGTTCACCAGCACCTTTGTTTGTCCCTATTCTCAAATGTGAGGTCTTTAGTTCTACTGCTCCATTTCTCTATGACTGATGTAAACCTCTTGCCATTTTCCAGCTTTTTCTTTAGCTCATGAAGTGATAGCAGAGRTGTCACGGAAGACGGACATGAAGGAAGTGGAGAAGGAAAGTGCAACGCATCTGGGCACTCCCTCTTTGGTCCTGAAGTATCTTCAGCTCTCTTGATTTTGCGCATTTTAGATAATTAGCAGAGGCTGGAGAACTTACCTGATGGGAGGTGTTTGTAATAGTAAATAACAGGGTGCAGAAAGTTGGACTGCCAGGCGTGCTGGGCCTCCCCTACAGCTCGGTTGTAGTAGAAGACATCTTTATCGGCCCCAGAGAAGTTCCTCCCGTACTCCATGATGATGACAAACAGCCCGTTGGCAGCTTTTCTCCCTGTATGTGTTTCCAGTTCGGCCAGGATTCCAACTGGGTATTCCTCCAGGTATTCAAATGCTGTAGCATTCCTAAGAGATACAGCCACACCTGTGAGACTTTTCTCTCAGTGAAACTGAGAAAGATGAACTGATCCCACTTTCCCTCAGCTGATAGAGCCTAGGGCCAAAGAGTCATCAGATYATAATAATTTCTGGTCACTACAGACCTGTGAACTTGATGCGGAGCTTATAAAAGCTGCATGTGCTACTAAAAGACTCCATTATATTCCCAGACCATTCCCCAGATATCCCTCTACCTCAGTGCAGCTCAGGAAAGCTCTTGAAAAAGAGGGTCCTACACCTCTGAGCCCAGCAGGAGCTTCTGGACCGTTTCAGCCATCTAGGAGAGGGAAGTAATTGGYAGGATGGGATTTGGTGACACCAGCTGGGACAGCAATACAGGGCTTGAGGTGGCTACATGATGCTGACGTCCCTAGATAGCAGTGGAGCAATTTGTATGCGGCACTGTGGGAATTAATGGTAAAGGAAAAGGAATTACGTGATGGAGTGCCGTGCTGGGAATAATTACTCACTCACTCACTCTCTCAGCAGAATGATGTCAGCCAGGACACTGAACATCTGGTAGAGGCCTGAGGCCTCATTCACCCGCTTGATGATGGAATTGGTCAACTGTGTAMTAGGGTGGGCTGTGGCTGGCCAGGGGACACCGTGGTGGCGGTTTTCCAGTAAGCGGTGGACTGCACGAGCTAAGGCAGGAGAGAAATAAAGGCATCTTACTTAAAAATCCAATCTTACACTTTTAAGAAACATGGAGGCTCTGCTGTAATACACACAGGTGCTGGCAGGACCCAATAAATAAGCTTCACAGTTGAGCCGTGTGCACTGAAATCACTGCTAATTGCAGTAGAGAAGCCCTACTTCAGAAAGCTAAAGCAATAGTAAGTGGTTGCCAGTGAGGAGAGGTGGGGTCTTCATTGATATTTCATTACTCCTTGGCAGCCCTTTAATGAAAAGGATGGGCACAAAGACACAAGTTCTCTCTACTGCCCAAAGCTGGTAGGCTTTAGCTGCAAAGCCCCGACCTCTCACCCACAGCCTGTCACGAGGCAGAGCATCTGGCCAGCAGAAATGTTTCTGTTACATAAATAGGAGACAATGGGCAAGAGAGATGCAAGACAAAACAAAGACAGACAAGAAAAGATTTCAGATATGACCCCAAATCCCTTCCCTGGCCTCTGCTCCACTTTGGACCTTGCCATRCAGCTGTAACTTGGCTGTGAGTTATTCTTCTCCCTGTTAGCACCAGATTGTGGGTGAACTCTTTCCAGCAGTAAGCTATGATTTTTTCCTTTGAAGTCTAGAGCTGAACCCCAGTTCTGCCCCTTCTGTGCACCCCGTTACTCACTTGTGTACCGGAATCCATGGATGAAGCCCCCGGCAGATTTCCTGAAGTCAACAGAGTGGCTAGCAGTGCCAAGAACGAAGAGCCCCCGTGTGCCTCTGGACTCATAACTGGGTTTGATCTGAGGATACTTACTTTTATTCCCTTTTCCTGGCATCAATTTAAGGGATCTAATGTGCAAAATGGAAGAGCAGGATGTTAGGAGGGAGATGGGGTAGAAAAATAAATCATTTTTGATGAGGCACAAGTTAAACTGTTGTCATTTTGAAAGATATGTACAGAACTTCAYGTCTCACTGGGTTCAGTGGGATTTATTATTTTTGGTAGCACTTGGAAGTCAACAAATATCTTCCAGAAGCCAAGTGTGCTCATTCAAGACAACTCTGCACAAGATCAAGTTACAGCCTTAGCCACTGACAGTGAATTTTAGAAGACAGCAAAACTATTTTTTTCAGCTGTAGGATGTACTGGGACACAAACTAAGATGGAATGAAGACTGCATCCTCGGGGACAGGAAGCAGGCAAGACATTTTGTACTGATCTACATCTATACCATCCTCACTCAAAAAACAGCCAGCCATCTCCACGTGATCTGAGGAACAAAGATCTTGAGTTCTAAAGGCACAGGCCTTTCCTGTGAGCCAAGTCTCAACATCACCCTTTACTCAGCCCTGTAGCCTCTCTGTCAGAGGACAAACGTGCTGCCCTGGCACTTGGACGTGGCTGCAGGGTGAACAAAGGACCATGCACCAGCAGGTGACTCAGGGGACATGGAGGACTGGGCACTGGTGTCAGGATAGGAACCTTCAGCATCCCCTTTCTTCTCTGGTTGGACCTTTCAGAGTCTACTGCTATAGACACCGCCGTCCCTCTAGGAAATGTTTTTCTTTTTTTTCTTTTTTCCTCACCTGTTGTATATGGCAAAGTCAAATTTCCAGCCCAGGCAGCGAATGACACGGTCATAAGGAGCACGGGTGGCAAAATTATCCAGCTCGTCCTGCGGGAGGGTGATGGAGTCAATGCCCGCACTGGTGTTCCTGTTCTCCAGGTAGAAACGCAGCGTGATGTGCAACTTCCCCTTCTTGTCCCTGACAATAGCCAGATCTTCCAGGTCGCCCTCCAGAAGCCCATCAAGAGATTTGAGCTGGTACGTGTCCAGCAGGCCATTGTTAATTGCTCTAGGAATGAACGGAAGTGTAAGAAACGCTACAGGAGGGGACGAGGTGCAATCTAGGACTCACCCCCAGGTCTTGGACACTTGACAAGTTTACTCGGGATCCCACTCTGCTCTTCAGGGTAAACGAGACCCCTGGTGCCTCGGGGCTAAGGGGGACAGTGCAAGTAACACCCAGAGAGGCAGTGCCAGGCATCAACAACCCCTCAGTGGCGCCCCAGGCACCTGGCAGAAATAAAAGGGGGAGCCCACCCTCTCGTTTGGCCCCGTCCCTGAGCAGTCATTAACACATTCGTTTTCAGAGCATTTCTGCGAGGCACGGGGGTGCCAGTAGCCTCACCTGAACGATGGGGCTTAGAGCCCTGCCACCCCCAGGAAGCCTGTGGCAGAGCAAGTAACTACATGTGGATCTGCCGAGCCCCAGATTTGTGCGCAGATCGTTGAGCTGCTCTTGCAGGGAGCATCTTAGGAGCCAGCACTTTTTATGATATATTTCTACAGGAACATTTCCCTGTTTCACACAGGCCAGTGAGGAACTCTGAAAGCTCCTGTGTGCAGAACCTGCAAACCTGGGCTGGTTCTAAGGAAAGGACCTAAACACAGACGGCCTCACGTTTCCTTAGTGACCCCCACAGAACCACAGTGCCGGCTGCGCCCGTCCAGCGAGTCTCCTGGGCAAGAAGTGCCCAGTCTGATAATACTCCAGCTGCAGTAAAACGGAGACGTTTCCTACCTCAGGTCTCCAACGTAGTGGGTGGCCCAGGAGAGGCGAACCCGGGATCGGCTCACCATGTGGATGAAATTCGTGACGCCCAGAATGTTCTCCGCCGTCTCAAAGGCAGAGTTCCCTCGGCCCAGGATCAACACAGTTTGGCCAGCAAAGTCCTCCGGGTTGATGGACACAGTCTCATAGCCCTCAACATATTCTGAGCCAGGGAAGTTCACCACGTTGGGGACCCAGGTGCCAGTGGCTACCAACAAAGTGCTGCAAAAACACGGACAGCCTTAGGGCCTAGAGGAACCAGAGCAGCTTTCCACCTCCTCAATCTCCTCCTCCCTTTGCAAAAGACCATTCTCAGGTGCCACCTCCAGCCATAGTGAGTCAGCTGCTTGGTGCCATTGGTTGGCACCACTCTTTTCCTAAGTGTACCTTATTTGTTCATTAATATTAATGTTAATATGCATATATTGCTCATATATACCCTCTGACAATATTTATTACAAGGCCAAAGGGTTTCATAAGTTGCTTACATGCTGCATATGTTGATTTAAAATTTGCATTGGCGTTTAGTCTTGGAACAAAAGCAATTTTAAAGCACAATGGAAAATGGTTTCAATATTTTAAAATTTAAGTATTGCTCATAAAAAAAATGTGATCAGAATAATTTTAATTGCTAACACTAAAAGTATGGTAATCTTTTTAATGTCTCACTGTAGGAAACTCTATGTAAATTTTAGGGGATTTTTTACGACATATAGTTCAAGGTAGCAGCACTGTCTGCTGTTGCAGCCAGTTCATGCAGCTCCTGGAGTAACTCACTCACGCTGTGTCGTGCCCAAGATTACGTGTCTGGCCCTGATTTTTTTTAAACATATGTGGGTTAACTGAGGCGGGAAGCCACTCTGCTGGCTGACCCAGTTTTGGAATAAAGGCAGTAGTGGTTATGGCGAGTACAACTCAGTTATTTTTTCACTCAAAGCAAGAGTCTTGTGATAGAAGACATAATTTCAACCTTAMATACAACACATGGAAATTCTGATGGTGGAAACCACAGGCAGTGAGACTGGTCTGTGCGCTGCGGAATATGAGGAGGTGCCACCACTGACCAACCAGCTGCATTTTGGCAATGCAAGCTTCTCCTTGGCCACCTCCTCACGGCAGGCAACACTTTCCCAGGAGCAGTCATCTTACCCGTCTGCTGCACATATCATTGCAAATATTTTTGGCCATGATGGCAGACAAGCCTTTGTGCAGGGGCTCTGAGAGGCCATGAAACCTCCAACCTTGGAGATACTCAAACTTTGAATCACACAGGATGGTTGAGGTTGGAAGAGACCTCTAGAGATCATCTAGTCCCACCCCCTGCTCCAGCAGGGACACAGTGCACAGAGTGGCATCCAGGCGGGTTTGGAAGACCCCCAGAGAAGGAGACTCCACAGCCTCTCTAGAGGAGACTGGCCAAGGCTCTGAGCAACCTGATGCAGTTATCCCTGCTTTGAGCAAGGGAACAAAGCAACATTCAGATGTTTTTTCCCAACCTTCCGATCCAATGGATTCCGTGACTCTAAATGCACTCGTGGAGGGCTGCACAGACAGCCCTCAGTTTGCCCATTACCTGCACTCGTACTGCTGCCTGCTCTGGTCCGTCAGGACGAAGACGTGGCCGTTCCAGGCGCGCGGGTCCGCGTGCAGCGTGACGTGGATGATGGCCGTGCTGTACTGCACGCGCAGCTCCAGCAGGGCGGCAAAGTCCTCCAGGTAGCGCACCATGGCGTCGGCGTGCGGGAAGAAGTCGCGCGAGTAGCGGCGGAAGAGCAGCCGGCGGTCGTGGCTGAGCAGCGAGTTCCAGTCGTGGCGGAGGTTGAACTCGCTGTTGGACTTACCCGTGTGCCGCTTGTTGATGCTGATGAGCTTGCGGTGCCGCGGGTAGAGCGCGAAGAAGCTGCCGGGCGCGTGGCCGCGCTCGAAGACCACGTAGTCCCTGCCGGCTCGCTGCAGGAAATAGGCCATCTGCAAGCCCGCCGGGCCGGCCCCGATCACGCAGTAGTCGCGGTGCAGAGACGCGGCGGCGGCGCAGGGCACGGTGCCCGCGCACAGGGCCACGCTCAGCAGCGTCGCCCAGGCCGCGCGCGCCATGGCGGCGGCCGCGGAGCCGGCCCTGCGGGAGAAAGCGCCGGGACGGTCACGGCCGGCAGGAGCGGCTGCAGCGCCCGGCTGCCCCGTCCTCATCCGCATCCCCACCCTCATCCTCGTCTCCATCCCCGTCCTCACCCACATCCACATCCCCATCTCCATCCTCATCTCCACCCTCGTCATCATCTGCATCCCCATCTCCATCCCCACTCTCATCCTCATCTCCATCCCTGTCCTCACCTACATCCACATCTCCATGCCCATCCCCATCTCCACCCCCATCCTCATCCGCATCCCCATATCCATCCCCACCCTCATCGCCACCCGCTTCTCCATGCCTTTTCTCACCTCCATCCCATGTACACCCTCATCTCCACCCCCATCCTCATCTCCATCCCATCCCCATCCTCATTTCCATCCTCATCCCCATCCCATTCTCATCCCCAACTCTATCCCCATSCCCTTCCCAGGAGCACCGTGGCCCTCGTGGCTCTGCATGATGACCCCCGCCCCAGCTCCTGACCCCCATTCCACACCAACCAATGGACACARTGTCCACAAGGTCTTCCCGCCAATGGGCACCCTGCGCCCCCCGCTGCCCCAGCCAACAGCAAAGCACCTGTGGACGCAGCAGCCAATGGGCGAAGCCCCTCCTTGGCCCCCTTGAGTCATTTGGGCCAATGGGAAACAGGGGGCAGGTGACCCTGGCTGAGGGGGTGCAAGCACCTCCTTTCCCCCCAATCCCTGTCAGCCAATGGGCAAAGAGGGCGCCAGCTGGCCCACCAATAGCGAGGCGGGGCCCCTATGCTCCCCACCCCTTGCCATTGGGGGAGCCCCACGCTGCCCTCACTCCGYAGCCAATGGGGACAGGGCTTGGCCCCAGCGACCCCCACCCCGGCCCAATGGAGGCAGGGGCGTGGCCGGCGCCCGCGAGGCGCAGCACGTGACGCAGTGACGCACCTGGCGCGGGCGAAGCGCCCAGGCCGCTCCCGGCAGCAACCGCACCCGCGACCCGGCGTTCCGGCCGCTTCCGCTCCGCGGGCCGCGCGCGCAGCGGCCGCCGCCCCGCCCCCCGGCCGGTCACGTGGCGCCGCCGCGGCTTCCCGCCGCCGCGCGCGCGTCACGTGACACGGGCGGCGGCCCCGCGGCAGCTCCCGCCGCGGGAAGGCGGCGCAACGAGGGGATCAAGGGGCGCCTTCCCAGGGGCAAAATCCCTCCTTCTCCCCTGTTCCGGGGCGAGGGGGCCCCTATTAACTATRTAACATATATTACATATTGCATTAGATTTCCTTTATATATATAAATATATATTCCACAGAGGGTGGTGGCACTCCCTCCTTGCGCTGATGTTCCTTTCCCTCTTTCACTGTACAATGCATTTACTCCCACCGTTTCTTTAATCATAGACCAGAGAACACCTTTTTTACAGAACAAAGTGACTTTATTCTGTTTCTTTCAACTGATTCTTTGACTGTGGTGGTTTTTTTTTTTTGGACCTGCAGGACAGCATGGTGTAAAGATGGAGCCCTGCTCTCCACCTTCAGCAGARGGACCATTACACCCCCTCACCCTTCCCCTCCGTTCTGCTCTCTGCCCCCGAGGAAGAGGAGAGGAAGAGTTACAGAGCAAGGACAGGTAGGGGAGAAGGAACCAAAAAGAAGAAAACAACAAAAAAMCATCCCCACACTTAGAAAACCCAAATCCTCTTCCCTTCCTTGAAAAAATGCTGCAGAGAGCAAGAACCAAAGCCAAAAAGTCAGACAGTTAGATGCAATTCATCCCCCCTCAGCTTGCCTGGCCTTCTCACCCAGGGCCAAGCTGTTTATCAGTCAAGGCCACGTACAGATAATTGGGAGTTACACAGCTTACCTTCTCCAACAGATTACACAGGAACTTGAAAATTTCCATATTAAAAAAAAAAAAAAAAACAACAGCTTACCTTCTCCAACAGATTACACAGGAACTTGAAAATTTCCATATTAAAAAAAAAAAAAACCCAGACAGCCTAGTTTTATATAGTGCGCACGCACCAGAAAGATGTTCTTCCACATCACAGGAGCAAGAGATCAAGTCAAATGGCTTCCCACAGAGAACAGAAAGCAAATGACCCAAACTGCACATATCAGGGACTACAAGTTGTTTTAGACAGCAAAGAGCAGAACAGGTAGAGAGGAGGCCTCTTCCCAAACACACATGCTTTCAGACAAGGGATCCCCCAACGTCYTGATATTCACTTAAAATTAATTCACCAACTTGTCTCGCTCATGGTAGGCAGTAGCACATTTCTAACGCTTCATTTTGTAATCACCCCCATTTCTAAAATTGTAAAAAAAAAAAATGTTGCTGATGTCAACAGCAGCCAGCATCCACGATTGACTGCAATTGATGAGCACCTCACATCACATCCTGGCAACAGTTAAAGCGACACTCCTTGGCGAGTTCCATTCTCCTAGTCAGTGTTCTGGACTTGTCCCTTGCCCTCAGCCACTTGAAACAAAAAGAAAAGGAAAAATCAGTCCTTGCTCAGTACACAGAGGCACAACACTGTACTGTGCTCCGTTTCAGCTATTTCTCAGTATTCTGTCTCAGCTCTTTTCACTTACCTTCTTGGTCCTTCCCATTTAGTGCTTTCTGAATGTCATTACCACACCTCTTTTCCATTACTAACTTAACAGCCTCAGGACCGCACATCCGTCATCATTCTAGCCAGACCTCATGCTAAGATCCAATTACTACCCTTCTCATTCAGCAATACCACCAMAAAGCAGCTGCCAAGCACACTACAAACCTTCCTCTTCCTCCTCCTCCTCTTCATCTTCCTCATCTTCATCAGAGCTGAAGGTGCCATCAGGCAAGCTGTAGATGCGGATCACCTGCTTGTTGGGGTCTTTGAGGATGAGGTACTTGCCCTCGTCTAGTTTCATGCAGATGTCAATGACGCATCGCAGGATGCCCCAGGCATTCTCTATGCTCAGGTTGATCTGGCTGGCAAACTCATTTGGCTTGAACTGCTGGGTGCCCAGGATCACGTGTCGGGCAGAGTCCTTCACGTGGTAGCGAGATACATACCTAGCAGGAGAAGRAAGTACAGGAATATCAGGAGATTTGTATGATCCAACACAGAACACAAGCAAGACCCATCCTTACACTGCAATCCCGAAACCTGACAGCATCTCCTGGCTGCAGGCTGCTTCTGTGCCTCAGTAATGTACCTGACAATCCTYCTAGTAGTTCTTATCAGAACGGATGGTACAAAAGACAGAAGAATTACTCCCACATTTAGAAGAGTGTGATTAGCAGGGAGCTTCGACTCAACACATGCAACTGAGGCAGTTCCATATCACACAGATGGAATCCAGAAGAACTGCAGAACCAGCAGAATTGAATTAGCAAATGTTTCTCATTAGTCCAAGTAGAAACAAGTTAAGTCTGTGTGTGTGTGTGTGTGTGTGTGTGTGTGTGTGTATGAACTTGTATGTATATAAAAACTCGCACTACAGGAACTATCTGGTAACATTTCGATAGAGGCAAAATAAACAGTGCAGCAGCCATCTCATCTGTTTCTATATCTACCAATGACTCCTTGCTAAGGGACTCACATCTCCTTTGTGCTGGTGCTTTGCAAAGGAACCATCAAAACCTACTCTGACCAAGACACCAGGGAAACTGCGTGCCTGGAAGAAGCAAATACAGCAGTTCATTCAGACMATCAATAATGAGACACGGACTCAATGATTCTAGGCTGCCAGCTTAAAACATGTGGAGGGGAGGTATTGCCACAGCTCATTTTGTCAGCAGTGATGCACTAAGGATCTCAACCAAATTCGTGACAGGTAGCACTGCCAACAAGGGAAGTGCATTCAAATGCTGTCTCAGTAAAGAAGCCAAGAACTGCCCAGGCTGCCTGCCTCTCATGCAGGTCTCTCAATGCGGGGGTGCATCGATCCCACACTGAGGGGAAGCAGCTTACACAGGGGCCAGGCTCCCCGCTGGGCCTCTCCGTGCTGGCTCTTTCTGCATACCTCAAACGTGAGGGAATTTTACAATTGTTCACATTCTACACGTGGTTTAATTTGACAAATGCTGTGTTTAAAACAATGGAAAATGCACCTGAAAGATGTTGTGAAAATCCCGTCTTACCCGAGTTTAAGATATTCTGATCCAGCCAGCAGCGCGCAACACGTCCAACGAGCTAATTTGTAGCTGTTGTTTTTCAGCTCTGTGGCAATTACAGCTCCTCTCTGCGAATCAAGCTTCTGGCGCCAGTCGACTCCGTTGCAAAACTGAGAGGAGAATCAAGATCAAGGTCAACCTAACAAGTCAGAATCRGTCACTTCTTCAGCCACCTTGACATCATGCAGAAGTTCTTTTGTCTGCCTTATGACAGCATAACAGAGGAATGCAAACAGTAATTTAAATCCCTTGCAAAGGGGAATGGGAGAAGTGAGGACAGTGTGTATTAGTCAACATAAGCAGAACTGGATAGGAAGGGAAGAGTTTGAGGGAAGCATCTGAATGGACATGCCACAGGAAGAGCAGAGGGTTCCAACTACCTTGTATTCGGAGGAGAGACTACCAGCACTGCTTGCCCCACAAAATTATGTTCCTTTGATGGAACATAACAACCTAGGGGACCCTATCAGATGTCTGTCTCATCTTGCCTGCTATACCTGGTATGTCAGGCAGCAGTGAAGCGGTTAGAGCTAGCTTTGGGACCTCGTTCTTCCTCACCCTGGAATCCCACTCGTTCAGCGTTTTGATGTTGATGAAAGACACTTCTCCATTAGCTCCCGTCATCACTCCATCGTGTTCGCAGCGCACAATGAGATCTATATCGTCCCCCAGCTTCCACCTTCGGTATCTGCAAACACACATTCTGGTTGGTTACTCCTGATCCTCGCTCTTTCGGATCTATGGAAGTACTCAGCAAATCCTTTCACCCTCCATCTGGCTGCTGTGAGGGCATCATATCTCAGAGTAAAGCTACAGCACAACTACCAACAAGCTTTGCCTGCAAATCACACCACCACTGTGCACCCCTGCCAAACCCAGGCCCAGAGACAGAGCAACGTGCCTGTATGCAACAGAGGCTACTTCATTCTTATCCATGTCATCCTCCACGAAGGGGTTTGGGTTGGGAAACTTGTATTTTTCCTTTCCCTGTAGAGAGAGAAAAAAAAAAGGCACATCAGGAAAATAAAATAAAAGAAATTAAGGAACTCTCTCCCACCTCTTTTCAAATTCAAACAATATTGGTGTGTAGTATCTTTGTCCTATCAAACGTTTTCGTGCTGAACAGACTGTACTGACAAAGCCTTAACAAAAAGAAGACTCTTTAAAACACAGACTCTACTACCCAGGATTGCTTGATCATACCATTCTCAGACACTGTTGGGAGAAGTTGTGGTTGATGTAGGTGGCCTCCATGGCAAGGTTGCGTGGAGAATTAAATGAGTTACCCTCTTCCTGAGGAGGTTCATTAGCTGTTTCACTCACTGTCAGCAGATCTGGGAAAAGAACAAGCCACAATGGTTACACCAGAAGAGTAACTAYGTTGCCTTCAAGGAGTTTCTAGCCCCATGATGAAACAGATTAATGTTGAGGTTATCTTCCACAGCTAGTAACTGTACTGKAGAAGTTGCACTGTTTCAGGTATAACCTGGACACTGAGGCATAAACTTGAAAGTAAAWAAACTCACCAAAATCAGAATTGTCTCTCTTGTCAAAGAAAAGCTTGGATCCAACTCTCTGGACAATGATATCCCAGGAATACACAGAGCGAGTGCAACTCATCAGTGTGGCCAGAATGGCATCYGTGGCAAACACATTTCCTTGGGTCTTTGCCAGCTACAGGTAAGAAAGGAGGAGAAAAGTGCATTTCAGCAATGCGAGCAGAYATTCTTCCCCTTTTAAGCCCAAATCACAAGTGTTGACAGTTTCTTCCTGCACTCTCAGAATCCGACTGCTGCACAAAACATGAAAAGCTGCAGAGCAACCTGGATCGAGCCCTGCTTTGACAAGGTAAAAGGAACGTATTGCAGGCAGTGAACCAACTGGCTGAAAAATTTCTTCATTGCCAAGAGAGTTGTAAGGACAGATCTCCAACAGCAGAAACCAAGAACCAACCTTCAAGAATCTGACATTTATGTTTCTTTTCCAATATAGCTTAAGTGCTAGTCTGCCTACCTTTCCAGAATTATAGCTTTTCCTTGACTGATATTCCTAATTTTATATTAATGTATCTGTGCTTTGGATCTAAAAAAAAAAAAAACTAAGTTAGCAACTAAATTTCTATCCTGTAAACACCGGAATGTTTCTTTTCTGCCCATCTCTCTCTACTCAAAGACAGGGCTTTACTGGCAGGGCCTGACACCTGGTCCAGCTGGGCCAAGAGGCCTCTAACAGCAYGGGGAAACACGACTGGGGCGAGCGGAACAGCAGACCTACCTTTCGGATAACAGGGTCATCAGTAGTAGTGACCGTGTGGAAGATGCGCTTAATGCTCCTCAGCAGCTTCTCGTTCCGTGTTGTGATGCGGTCAAAGGCTTTATCGTAGTACTCCAAGGCTCCACAGCACTCTCTGCACAGACAGAAGGCACTAGTTGTACTCTCACGCAAACAAAAATCACCCAGAAATACCATYGGGTTGAGGGGGCTGTCAGACTTTTCCTTATCACTCCTGCTTTGATGGCACTGGGGCCAGGAGGTCCCTGTTCTGCTACTTCCCAAAATCCAGGCGGGCGGGGAAGCAGGCAGCCGCCTGTTCTAGGAACTCACATGTCCTGGGGCTCCGACACCTCCAGGTAGCGCATCTTCATCAGCCGMGGGAAGTCCATCTCTTCTTTCACCTCCCAGTCACTGCGAACTTCAACAGAGGAGTCGCGCGGTTTCTGCTGCGTGGCGGGAGCGCAGACAGACACAGAGACACAGCATGTCGGGATGTGCGATGCACAAGTTGCCTCACAAAAGCTAAATGATCACAGGGGCCACAAAGTCAATTTACCTGTGATTTTTGGTCCCACTTCTGCCTCACTCCAAACTGCTTCTGAAACTTCTTCTGTAGACGCAAACGATCTCTAAAAAAGTAAGYATGTGAAATGCCATCAAGACAAAGTTCTAGGTTGCTAGATGTCACATCCACTCCTACACTCCCAATCTACCACCACAGGACCAATGTCTTTAGGCACCAAGAAACTAAAACATTTCCTGAGCTCTCTGTTGATCATGACGTCTGAAGCATTACAAGCTTTAATCCGAGCTGCTCTTTAAATAATCTTTCCTCTGAAGTCTACAATACAACTTTCAAAAAGGCTCCATTTAAAATTATTGTAGGCACTTTCAAAACTGGGTTTAGAAACTCTCCAAATTCTTAGGTAGCTGTTTGAAACCCATGCCTGCAACTACAGGTGACCTCAGTGGGATTTGAAAATATGCTGAAGTTCTTCCTTGGTGACTGTTAGCTCCAGGGGTTTCTAGCACAGTAACTTTACAGATTTATCAACATTTTGTTGACACACTTTGTACAACTACAGCATATTCACAGCTGAGCCCCCTCACCTCTCCTTCTGCTTGGCACTCTTTGGCAGCGTCTGCATGCTGAACTGCAGCATGTTCCGACGGTCCTTGTCCCTCCGAAGGTTCCTCTGTGAAAAGGACAGAGAGAAAAAGAAAAAAAAAAAAAAGACATTTAGACATTTTAGCCTTTTATTTCATTGCCTACCACTGAAGTTCTCCCTCAGGAGAGTTCCAGCCAGCAGGTGGTACCTGTGCAAATCGCATACGGTTCCTCTGGTAGGCCGTTTTCTGCGTCCGGGCCGTATCCACCAACTGGAAGCTAGTCTCGTCCTCCTCGTGAAAATAGGCATACTGGCTGCCGCCCCCAAACTGCGAGGAGTACTTGTCTGAAGAGAAAACACAGCACCTGGCTAGCAAGCTCYGAGGAAAACACCAGGGGCTCAGGGGAACAAACCCACAAACTGCCTTCCCCTTGGTCCGGTGCGTGGGGACTTGCACCAGCGCTTCCTCTCCCTCCCAGCCTCCAGGAAAAGCTCCCGTCGGGAGGCAGGGCAAAACCAGGAGCAAACCCTAGGGCCAGGGAGGGCCCTGCGGAGCTCTCCCAAGGGTGAGTCTTGCTTTTGAACACAAGCAGCTCCTGCTGACGCAGGCAGGTAACCACCAGAGCCACCACGGAACATGAAAGCAAGGGAAGGCACCTGAGGCAAACCCTGCACGGACCAAAGGAGCGGCGCAGCCACCAGCCCTCACGTACTTGTGTATCGCTTGTCCTGGTACGTGGCTCCCGTCCAGTCCGCAACCTGAGGACAAACACTCAAAATCAGTGAGTGGCAACGTGACATTCCCAGCCGCTCTCGCTTCACGCGTGTGGGACCTCAGGCAGCAAAAGCCAAGGTGGCYCCGTGCTCCAGACGGAGTCCCTTCRGCTCCCACCTCTGCTTGCCAGCTCTACTAATAGCTCACAGCTCTATTAACTAGCACACACTACAAAGAATTCTCCAAGACCAACCACAGTGATCAGTAAAGAAGCTTCAAATGGAAAACGGCAGTACTCTGCATGGGTGAGGCACGAAAAGGGACACGGAGGTCTCCCGGCACGAGGTTAGCAGAGGTGTCTGCCTTTCCCGGCGCCGCGCTTGGGCACCATTCCAGTACCTTTCCCAGGCGGTCTCCTTTACTGAAGGGCTGGTAGGGCATATCCTTGAACTGCTCGGGCACCGCGCAGGGGCCCCAGCCGGACGGGTTGTCCTGGATCACGGGAGTCACGAACTTGGCCATTTTTAAACCTTCCTGGGAAAGGAAGCACGGGTCAGGAGCGGCGCCCGGCAGGGCTCGGCCTGCCCTCCTCGCGGGGAGAGCCGAGGCGCCGGCCCGGCCCCACGGGAACCGGGCGCAGGGCCGGGGCCCGGCGGCCCCTCGCCCGCGCGGCCCCTCGCCCTCCCGGCGCCGATGGCCGCCCCGGCCGCCCCTCACCTGCGCGGCGCCGATGGCGGCGGATGCGGCGGCGCGGAAAAGGCCCGGCGCGGCTCCGGCCCGGCCTCAATGCGTCATCGCCGCGCGCCGCCCTCATGACGTCTGAACCATGGCGCCGCAGGAGGCAGCGGCTAGCGACGCCGCAGCGGGCGCCGCCATGACGCGCTGCGCGCCCGCCGGAGTCCCAGAGTGCCCCGCGGCGCGGCGCGGGCGGGGCCGTTGGGGGCGGCGGTCGCCATTAGTGCAAAACTGCGTCACCTTCAACTCGTTTAGGCTCGGGTTAGCTCATCCCGCCTTCTCATGGCATCGTTTTGTCATCAAAATAGCACTGCAGTCCCTCGCCCTCTTCATTAGCTGCACAAAAGCATACCGGATCAAAAGGGGGGGGGGGGGAATGATATTAGTAGGAGTAAAATCGCCCAGTGTATTGACAGTCTGGATGATCTGATTGATTTTGATCTAATTGGTCTGTCAGGCAGCGGTGGGCAGCACAGGTGGCTTCACAGAGCTCCCCTTATCTGTTACTCGCATAGAGATGCTGGTGACGTGGTCGCGTAGATGACTGCCCCATATCAAGAAAACTTTCTGCCTTTGACAGAGTTTGAACTTGCTACTCTGCCTAAAGTTGCTCCTCAGCTATGTAAAATAAGTATTTCTACCGCCATGGTTCAGTCCCCCTGTTCAGTTGTGCCAGGTTGTTCCACAGAYGTTAAATAGACTCACTGTAAAATGTGGCCAGTAAATTCACAAGTTTTCACATGGAACTAGGAATCAGGAGATTTGGGTGTGTGACAGAGAACGGACTTATGGGGCTCCTCACAAGAAGTGCCTCACTAGGATGGTGTATCAGAATGGGAAGCATGATATAATTCTGTCAGACAAAACATTTTTCGTTAGCCTCTTGAAATAAAAATGTATTGCAAAAAAAAAAAGTGAGGTAGTTTTGATTGCTGTTGTATAATCATATGTCTGACTTGGGTTTTAGAGGCTGTTACAAGTGCTTAACTATGAGGTGTGAGAATGTGCGAAAAGAGGCGATTACAGTTGTCCCTGGTGCCTTCACAATATGGTATTCGATGCTATGCGTCGTCTCTGATGGCTGTCCTTGACCTGCTAAAGGGGAAACGTAGGGCTATGACTTCAGATTCAACTCCACAGCCTTTCTAGGAGATCCTGAAAAAGTAATTTGATATATGCCTCAAGTCCCAGTCTAYAGCTGGGATGTATTTTCCCTCTCTCAAATGGTGAGCGCTAAAATTCACTGGTAGATCTCAGATGTTCTCATACATCARTTTGCTCTACCATTAGAAAGAGCAGGATTCAGTTTAGCTATCTTCAGCTCACAGGCAAAGAGCTAACTCTTTAGAGACTTTTCCTGGGTATCCTTACTCTGAGAAGAGTCTAGATCAATATCTTTCAGAGGGATATGCGTTTTCTTTTTTATTTATATATTCACCACTCTTAGTTCCATCCTAAGAAAGAACAGAGGCTGCAGCAGCCTCCTCTTTGCCAGGCTGCATCGCCATTAATCAGGAGCAGGATTATTAAAGCAATTTTCCTAGCTAGTGGAAAATCCACTTATAGAAATATAGTTTATAAAATGCAATTTGTAACTGTCCCACCTAAACAGCCCTCCTGGGGACCAATGTAATGAGTGCTGGAATTGCCTCACTGCTCTGCGTGCGGTGGCACGGTGGATTCCAGCTCCAGACGAGTCCTGCAGCACCCATCCAGCTCCCATTGCCTGCCCTCACTACGTGGGTTTGGGGGGTCTCTGGCAGTGTGAAGAGGCCTTGTGCACCTTTGGGACTGCTGTATTCCAGTCTGGAACCAACCTCCTCGTTATTTATCTATGTGGAACAGATAAATACACTTCATCCAACTTGGTACAGTAAATTCAATCCAAACATTGCTATGTCCATGCCCTRCTTAGGAGGCAGTGATAAAAGGAGCAGGAAACCCCAATGGGAAAGCTGGACTAGGGAATGAATAAAGACAAGTGATGACAAAGAGACTGATAATTTTAATYCTTTCCTCTTCCTTTCCTCAGCTTCCTTTGCATTCCCAGTCCTGAGAGAGGTTCTTAAAAAAGATTGCAATGCTGCTGTTGTCTTCCAGAGCTGGCAGATYATTTGCAGTTTGCTCCTAGTCCTTGCAAAATGCCTTCTCTAGGGACAGAGTTGGGTGCAAGGCATGGTTCAGAGGCCAGAACTTGCATAAGGAGTATCCTGTCTGCCATAAATGCTCCCTTGGGCTCCAGTGCAATGTACCAGTTTCTTATCTAGGAGAATGCATTTCAGTTCTAAGAAYTTTTTCCAGACTTGATGAGGGCGAGATTCTCTGCCACATTTAGGTCAAATTTACTGGGCGGTGGTGGTTGGGAGAGCGGAGCTTTATCTCGCCTTTTCTTTAGCATCAGTCACTGCAGCTTCTGAGCTCCTGTCCCATGCTGCCGTCAGAGGTTCAGTGTTGTAGGCACCCCTCGGGTCCTATCATTCTAACCACAAGCATCATTTCTGCAAATAATTTGCCATCTGGCTGTTTGCTTTCATGACAGGCATATAAGTTTCCCAGTGAAATCCGGAGTTGCTCAGAATACATTTTCTTGCAATCATTTGATCATTAATCCACAATTCCAGTTAATCAATTAATTACAGTTAATCAGACTAATCAATTTTCCCTGGAAGATGCTTATGAGAACAGCCAGGATAAATTGCTCGTATCCAATTTTGCAGCCTTGTTTCCCGTTTGTCTATTTTGGGGATGTGCACTGGTGTTAGCAAGTCCATAAACGCGGGCATGTCCTAGCACAGTGGCTGTTTCAGTCCGTGTCATAGCCATAATCCAGTGCTTCCCTTCCCTCCCCACAGCAATTCAGGCCTCATTCAGGAGCTGCTGTTCTGTGCCTGGCCATGAGCTCAACATCAGACTCATCCTGCTGAGCAAGTGCAATATGCAGCCCAGGCAGCGGTATCACAAGTTTATCAGATCTAAATGAAGGAAAGCAAATTAAAACTCCCAACCACTAGAGTGCTTTTCCATAAAAACTGCAACTCTCTTTCCTGACTAACGAAACCTTAGAAGGCCTTAGGGTAGGAGTTGATCTCCAATTTGTGTGACTGTGATTCTCGTTTAYTGTGCAGGGCTTCTACTCATAAACGAGACCTGAAGGCTAAAGTTCACACCGAAACATTATTTTCCAGTAGTTCCTTTTGTAATTCTTCTAGCAAATCCATCAAAAATAGTGAGTTGTTTTTTTTTTTTAACTGAACAACAAGCACGCTGTATGCCTGTGCCATATGTTTAGTCTCCAGTGCCTTGTACTTCTTAACAAACCCAGAAACCTGAAAAAATAATCTTCAGCCTTAACACCTTCCCCCAGCTGASAAACTTAATGTTTACAAACCTCTTCAGATCAGACTGTTCTTCCAAAGTCATCTTTTTTTTCTCTAAGTGGCAAGATTTAATGCTGGCTTCTGTGTTCTCACAACAAGCAACCTTTACTGTATGTGAAGTGGCTCCTGTCACAGGTCAGCAACTATCTGGCTGCTCAGCTGCCCAGAAGGATAACTGTCCACCAGAAAACACCCATGTTTCTATTGCTCTCACCCTCTGTTCACAGCCTGAGAAGCCCTCCTACCTCCCTAGTGTGTGTTCCTCTTTGCATCTCCTCTTTCCAGTTGCGCTTTTGGCTGCCTCCCCAATCTGCTGTCATACCAGGCCAAGTGCCTGCACTGCTGGGGGTGGCCTCCTTGTGTGCTCCTTTTCCACCCCTCTCCAAAGCTGTCTGGATGCTGAACTATAAACCTGCCCTCCTTGGGTGACATTTATTCACCAGCTTTTTCAGGGTGATGATTGCTACGCTTTTTAGAAATCCTGGAAAAACAGCGATAGAGCAACTTGCCTGTGTGTGTGCTGCGAGTGTGATTTTGAGTTTGCTGGCTGTGCAGTCCCATGGTGCTGGTAGCAGGTGGCACCTGGCTGGTTTGCTGCATGTGTTCAGTGCCATCCTGTCTGTACAGTAAGGTCCAAGGAGGGGAAGGGCTGAGTGTGTTCTTGGTAAAGGAYAGTGTAGGGATGGAGATGCTGCGAGGCTTTCTCCTTGTTCCTCCTTGAGCTGTTCTCAGTGCTTCCCATTTCTGCTGGGGCAGACGGTCTCATTTCCAAGGATATATAAAAGCCTGCAAGCACAGGCTTCCTCTTTTATGTAAATTTAATTKCTTTTGTAGCCTGCCGATATGGAGTTTTGCTGTGCTTTAGCCACTCCTTTTGTTCTACTAGGAAAAGGTTGTTAGGTGAAGCTTCCTGGAATATATTCTAGGAAATATTACCCTTCTCTGAATTAGTGCTGTCTCTTGCCTGACTTTGACCATCTTTATTTACACTAGCATCAGTGTCACATCTCGGCTAGATCTTCAGGACCTGAACCTTACACATTATCAAAAGAGCCGTGTGCCCACTCTCTGTGCYAGTCCTCGGCTACTGAACACTGCCCTTCCCAGAGCTGTAGCGGGAGCCCGGGTTGATCTGTCTCTGCACTAACTGTCAGGCAGATAGTCTCCTTTCATCTGCATTCCGCGCTGGATTTTATCTCAGCAGCCAACAGGCTAATTCCGCAATTTATTCCGCAAGGCTCCGTTAGAGCAGCTGGTGCCGGCGGGGTCCCCGCTGGCTCRGAGCTGGCAGGCGAGGCCGGCTGGAGCGGGAGCCGGGGTCGGGGCCGGGGACGCCGCTCGCTGCGCTGCGCGTCCCTGCGGCACCGCAGGCTGCTGGCGACTCCTGCGAGCTGCGCGCGGAGCGAGCTGGACACCCCGGTGCCTTTCAGAAGGGGCCTGGGTCGTGGTGCTGCCTGTAGRGGCTGGGAGGGACAGCATCTCCCTACCCCTCGCGGGGAGAAATACATTAAAGATAAAAGGCGCTTCTGAAGGACGGTGACGAGGGGCCATTGATATAGAGGCAGAAGCAGATCATGGCTGCTGCATCTGGAGAAGGCTGTGCAGACACAAGCAGGAGCAT